TGGATTTCTGAAAGGTGTTTGATATCATCCATACAAAAACATAAATTAATTTCTCTGCTCGTTAACTTGATAATTCTCTCGTCCAATAATATAACTGTCGAAACAGTGAAATTTTCCGATGATGAACCCACTGTTATCACACCACTAACTTCGCCATCAAGGTCAGTGGATAAGTTCATGAAGGAAGTGAAGTGACAATTGTCAGGAATTCAGTCCATTCAATATCACTAAACGATACAGTCACTTGTTCTTCAGGTAGGTACAAAATTGTACTGAATATTCTTATACTGGGTATTAGTCCTCTAGCAATTCTTAATCCTGCAACAACTTTGAAATTCTTCATCAAATAGTAGGTCTCATTGAAGAATTTGGATTCTTTCTTGATTTCTTTATCGGTTTCAGTTTTTCTAAATAAAGTCCCACACTGGTCGAGTGCGCACATATGTATAACCTATACGAAATTATCCGATTTTTGAAAGCCGAATTGATAATCTGACCATTAACAGGTTAACACTCTGTACAGCACTTACTTTTATGTTTATCAGTTAGAAATGGCTTCATCGCAAACTTTACAGTGCAATGATTGCAAATGAGCCGGGCAATCTAAGAAATCTAGTTCCAAACCACATCTTTGGTTTTATCGATCCAACTGTTATGAGAGTTATCAAATCCCAACCATTTCACAAAAACCTAATTTCCTTTCTTCATAATACTTGTTCAACGAGAAATACATCAGGTTGTTTTGTTTTTTGCAATTCTTCTTCATAAAAACCCCCATTAATAGGATGGCCTTGCAAGTCCTCTTGCAGATATGTCGTTGGATTTGTTATTTGGATTTTAGCGATTCTAAACAGTTTTGCAGTCAAAGCTTATGTAGATAGGTATTATAATGAATCGAATAAGATAGACCACTCTTATGGTTTAAAACATGACATGAAAATTGATGATTGGATTGAACTATGGGCTCACGAAAAGTCCACTTTCTTTCGAATGGAGATATCAAAGTGGGTAATGTATCTTATAAAGGAACACAAGGACTATATGAATTACTATTCATGAAGAAGCCGTTAAATCATGCAGCAGAGGATAGGCAGCAATTCAGTAATATTTTGGAAAAAACTTATGCACATCGAAGAGACTTTGATCCAACCAAACAAGTTGAAGGGTCTACATCTGTGAAATGTAAAGAAATTGTTAGATCATTGGTTTAGACATTATCTGAAGCAAGAAGGATTGAATCAACGCATACACCCCCGACTAAAAATCCATTTACAAGATCTAAATATAAATAGGAAAGTTCTTTATTAGAATATAATAGGAAACCGAAGCAGTATGTCTATTATGATGATGTCAACGAGTTAATTGACACACTTCCAAAATTAGATGCATCTCAAGAAGCTGGCAGTGGCTACCACATCAATGATATTATGAGTATTCTGGAGGAACTGGTTGAGTTGGGTGTAATCGAATTCAATAAATAAACCTATTTCTTTTATTTAGAATCATTCTTGTGTTTACTTCGAGAAAGTTTGGATCTCAATGTCCATTATCACGAAAGCTAGAGAGCAGGTGGTTGAAGAGCTTCATAAGCCAGCCCGTAAAAAGTTTGATTGTAGAAAAGTGACACAGTTTGGCCTAGATGACACTTTTACAACAGATTTGGTGCAGCTTGATCAATATGCTCGAGAAAAGAAAGGTTTCAAATATATGTATATTGGTTGTTATCGATTGTTTTTCCAAATTTCTCCGGACTAAAGCTGTAAAATCGGAATCTGCAAGCTATGGAAAGCATGTATTGAAATCTTCTGGAAGTATACCTAATTTCCGATAATGGCAAGGAATACTATAACACACAATTCTCGAGTCTAATGAAGAAACATCATTATCATCAAGTCCTCTGAAAGCATCAGTGGCAGAAAATAGGATCCATAAATGGCTCGATTTATTGAAGCTAGTTACTGATGCCTATAATAATACCAAACATCTAACAATGCGTATGAAGCCAAGTAAAGTTAATGAAAGTAATGAAAAGACATTGCTTGATTCTGTTTACCGTCATATCAAGGTTGTTGGTAAAAAAAAGTTCAAAGTTGATGAAGTAGTCTGCATAAGCAAGTACAAACATGTCTTTCAAAAAGGCTATACTCCAAATTGGACGGCACAACTGTTAGAATCGCTAAAATACAAATAACAAATTCAACAACATATCTGCAAGAGGACTTGCTAGGTCATCCTATTAGTGGGGGTTTTTATGAAGAAGAATTGCAGAAAACAAAACAACCTGATGTATTTCTCGTTCCAACTTTTATGAGATTTATCAAATCCCAACCATTTCACAAAAACCCCATTTCCTTTCTTTCGTAATACTCGTTCAACGAGAAATTAGCATGACATTTGTTTTTCCTGAATTACTCGGTCCACTAATCGTGTTTGGCAAAATTTCCCCAAGTTTTTTCTATTACTAGACTTGATAGTATCAAAGTTTTCGATCCTTATTTTCAGTTTCTGTTTTATTTTTCGCATTGTTTATAAGCCGTCTGCACCTTATCCCGGTTTCATTCTAAATAAATACGTCATCAGGTGCCAGTCTTTTCAATAGTACCATCAACGAGCTCCCGTTTGAATTGCATTTGCCCGGAGGGTACTCGTATTGTGGCCCTGGAACTGATCTGAAGCAGCGATAAACTAGAAAACAAGTTAGACAGTTACTATAGAGAACACGATATCGAGTACGCTAAGAATGCCGATTTACAACACAGACATCGGGCAGATAAAGTGCTGGAGAATAAATTTTGGGAGGCCAGAGATTCCAGTTTCGGTTAGAAAAGTGCTGCTTGGATTGCACCTAACGAGTGCGATGAAAGCTGAACGTAAACTCTGTATGGGAAAACCGAAAAAATTGAAGCCATTCAAAACCTATGTTGTTTCTAATGTGAGAAAACAAGTGAAGTATCGTACTGGAAGAGGAACGAAGGATTTGATCAAATCAGCTGTTCTAGCAGCTCGGCAAACCATTGGTCCCAAAAATATTCGAGTTCCACGAGTATTCCACTCCTGTTTGCAGGACTAAGTGCGTTAGGCGCCCTAAGTGGTGGTGCGGCTGGAATTACAAATGATACTCGTTCTGCAAAGGATAAACTTGCTGAGTCCAACCGACACAGCCAAATAATGGAAGCCATTGCCTTAGGGAAACAAAGGAAGTAGTTTATATCTAGCTAAACAGAAGACCGGGTATGGACTGTACTTGAAAAAGATGCCAAAAAATAACATACGCCTCGCATGGACGATAACAACGGTTTGAAGATAACACCATGAGATAAGGAGCTGCGGTAAAATTTCGGAAAAAAAAACGCCAAATATTTGGGGTTGGCCCTGGTGAAATCCGCGAAATTTCAGATCAAAGGCGCCGCCGATCTAGAGATTTTCCCACGGTATCGAAAAATTTCCCAGGCTCAGGGGCCTTATTCTGTAAGGAACGAAGCGTTCGATTCGGTAGAATGTTTTCGATTGTGACGTCATTTTCGGTTTGGTAGCGCGAAAACGAGCGAAAACTAAACCGAAAATGACGTCACAATCGAAGAAATTCTACCGAATCGAACGGTTGTTCCTTACAGAATAAGGCCCCAGGTGCCCCCGCTAGGTTGACAAATAACGTCATTTGGGTTTAGATCTGTAATCTCATAGGTCAGCCAGTTATTTGCCGACTAATAGAAGCATAAAACGGTGAAATTATCTTGCAGATACTTACCAGCAATTTATCTGAAGATAAATAAACAGGGCCTAAAGCAGCTAGACTATAAAGATTAAATAATTTAGATCGTTAACCATCATATACCAAATTCGTTTGGATTATTTTGCAATTCAAATTTCCTATTGACTCTCGACTTTTTGTTTCCGATGAACTTTAAATTCCGCGATTCTTCTCTTTGAAACTGCAATTCCCTGCAACTTAATTTTCCATTCCAGTCGATAAAAGTTTTTTTTTTTGTGCCGCAAAATAGCCTGCGCAACAAAATTCAATGTCAAAGTTTTTATTAAACAAATTGTAGCCACATAGAAAATAGGTTTTTGTAGGAGACGTGGCCTGGCACAGGTCCAAATGGCAATTTGTACGTGGGAAAGCATCTAAAGATGCCATCGGAAATTGTTCAAAGCCAAAATAAAATAAAAAATTAAAGTTTTCTTCCTAAACAAACTCCTTCACTAGTATAATAAAGAATTAGTCAATACTTTTAAAACTTCTCCCAAACCGTCTGTATTCCCAGAAGTTTTTATTATAAAAGATTTTACGACGAGCTGCGAATTTAATCTAAACCTATCCCTCCGAGTTTGTCGGATTGGCTTTTAGTCGAAAAATTACCCCCAGAAAGTTCAAATATTTGCGGGATTTCATTTTGAAACCCGATATCTTTACTCCCACGAAGTATTCTTTCGATACTGATATTTTCGAAATGGATGGTGAAATTTTCAATGTACCGAGCTTTGTTGAGAAATACTGGGAATTTCGTTTTAAGCTTCTATAACTATAAGCTGGCAAGAGTATTAAAATTGTTCGAATTTCTAGTTTCTCGAATCTCGAAGTTTACTGAGGAAGAATCTGACATTATTTCGTCACTTCACTGGGCGAGTCGTCTTTTTCTGTTACCAATGAAATTCTTTCAAGAATAGATTTCCTGGGAATTTTCAAATTTTTCTCCTGCGAATAAATCCAAGACTCCAAATTAATTTCTCTAAGGGGTCAAATAATATTTGCTTTATATTTTTAATATTTAACGACTCCAAGCCAACAAAGAAATACTCTCTTATTTTTTTTTTTTATTACGCGACCCCAAAAACAACAAAACAAAAACCGAGCACCACAATCTTTTGTATCTTGGAAAAACATTTTTTTTTTTTTAGTCAAAATCATTAAACGGGCCTTTAAGGCAATCCCGATGTGAAAACACTCCCCATTTTGCTGATTCCAAACTTCAGCCCACTCATATTACAATTGATTTCAGGAGCTGCCGAGAAAAGTTCAAAGCACGGCGCCGAAGATAAAGCGAACAGCATAATTACCGCAATGAAAGAACGCATGAAGCAGCGAGAGCGGGAAAAACCCGAAATATTCGAGCTTATCAGGTATGTAATTAGGGTTGATTATATTTGCCCTTGTTAACTTTTCTGATTAAATTTTCAGGTTTTAGGTAAATGTTTTATCTGACAAAAGGAAACTTTAACTTATAATTTCTTTTCAAATTTCCCTAAAGTTACTCAGAAGCATTGGAGAGTGTTTGAGGTCCTTATTTGACCTCTACTCACAAGGGTTCGATTTCAGGCCTTCAAAAAGCAATTTATTCAAAGGCCCATAAATTGTTTTGACGTTTAGATTTTTTCTTTTGGGAATATATGACCTATTTAATTCAAAATCTATTATGAATTTCAAACGAAAAACTGTTAAACTTTCTCAACTACATTAATGTAATTTTACCGCATTTCTTGAATACATATTCAATTGAATGAATTTTACTACTTCCGACTATATTATGGGCAACAAAAGAGCCGAAAGCCAGAACTTCTAACTACAAATACTTTAAGTTATTATGTTTTAAAATTTTCTTGCCAGTTTGCTCATCCGAATTGCAAAAGATATAAGTAAGATAAAATTAATTCTAAATAAACTCGGAATTCTTCGAATAATAGGAAAAGCAAAGTTAGTGGAATATAAAGCATCAATTTATTCATTTGAAATATTTCAATCTAGAAGATTAACGTGGGTGGTTGAACATTATCCCTTTCTGATAAAACCACAGGGCATTAATTAGACTAAAGGTAAACCCATAAAAGAGGGTTAGCAAAAACGACAGCAAGTTTTGTCGATATCATGGTAATTTTTATTAGGGATAGCGCCAACTAAGGAGAAATAATCACAGCGCATGCGATAAGAGGAGAGACAAAATCGTTCCCTATTCACAAATCGCCAGGAATGGACGATATATTTCCGGCTCTACTCCAAAACGAACTGGATATCCTACTACCTTCATTAGGTATTAGGTGGTCAAGGACAAGGGTAATATGTCTTACATAGAATGTCTTATATCATTCTTTCTGAAACGTACGGAGAAAGTGCTGGACGCACACATCAGGGAAGAGCCATTAGAGCAACCCGTTGAGTGTTGTGTACGCCTACCAGAATGGTAAATCGATTTTACTTGCTCTTCAGAGATTGGTCACAAAAATCAGCCAACAAAAAGATTGCGCTCATCAACATGAAGGGAGCCTTCAATAACACTCTTAATAAGTTTCTATATGAATCGGCTAGAGAAATTGAGCCTCTTATCTGTGACGGGATTCGCAAGATGCTTGAGAACATGTATATAACCACGACCCTGCAGGAGGAAATAGTACAATTTAGGGCTGCCAGGGTCTGCCCACAAGGAGGGATTCTCTCTTCTCTTCTGTGGTCTCTCTTGGTCGACAATCTGTTGGCCATAATCCAATTGTGCGAGTTTGACCTGCAGGCTTACGCGGACGACAAACCATTGTTACAGTAAACCCTCACAAAATAACTATAGTGTCCTTTACAAGGAAAAGTAAGCTAGACTATCTTATACCACTTGACCTATGAGGGTGGTACCCTTTTGCAAGTCAAATATTTAGGAATTACCTTAGATAAAAGGCTTACCTGGCAAAAATAAAACAGAAAGTCGCTCTTAAGACGCTTAGTTCCCTACTGTAATTCAAGAACAGTCAGGAACCTCTAAGACCATAAGGGAAGGAAAACAAGGTAACCATAATGTGGATACCGGGACAATGTAATGGATCTCTGTGCCAGAGGGGAAGCCGAAACCAACTTCACATTGCCCATAATGTCACAAATCAAACCATTAAAACCTGGGCAGCCTTCGAACATTGACTAAACCTGCCAGGAATGACACAAGCAAAGGCAATCATAAGAGAACCGCTGAAAGAACCCTCGGTTGGAAGGATGCTAGAGCTCGGCAGAACTAAGCTGAAAACCCTAATCGGCTTATACATTGGAGTAGGCTAAAACACCACATGCAATGGGTTTGATTGGCAGATGATGCTGAGTGCAGTCTATGCAAGGAAAACGAGGAGACAGCAGCACACATTTTTTTTCGAATGTCTGGCAGGTGGCAGGCTGAAGCATAGTATCTTAGGTGGGGCAACGGTCGCACTGACAGACCTGAATAACATCTTTCCAACTACTATCCTGGACTTCATTGGGCAGGATTGGAAAATTGTAATTAGGCATGAGCCACAATAGACCAATGAGTCGCAGTCTAGTCTAGACCTAACCTAAGGTAAATTTTTCAAAATAAGAAGCCACAGATGAAAGTTTTCTAAATGGTTTGGTAAAGTAGGTAGGTAACATGCTTCATCTTTATGATATTGATGATGACTGGATTCTCCAGATGCTTGAGAATATGTATATAACCACGATCCTGCAGGGGGAAATAGTACAGTTTAGGGCTGCCAGGGTCTGTGCAGGTAGGGATTCTCTCTCCTCTTCTGTGGTCTGTCTAAAGCTTACGTTTCATGCATCCGTTTTTCCGTCAGTCCGTTGATCCGGGAGTATTCCTATTGGTCCAATATTTTGGCGCCAACATATTGGACCAATAGAAATACTTCCGGATCAACGGATTGACGGAAAAACGGATGCATGAAAAGTAAGCTTTAGTCAACAATCTGCTGGCCCTAATCCAACTGTGGGAGGTTGACCTGCAGGCTTACGCGGACGACAAGCCATTGTTACAATAAATCCTCAGAAAATAACTGTAGTGTCCTCTACAAGGAAAAGTAAGCTAGACCATTTTATACCCCTTAACCTACGAGGGGTGGTGGTACCCTTTGCAAACGAAGTCAAATATTTAGGAATTACCTTAGATGAAAAGCTTACCTGGAATTCCCATCTGGCAAAAATAAAACAGAGAGTCGCTCTTAAAGCGCTTAGTCCCCTACTGTAATTCAAGAACACTCTGGAGCTGTCAGGAACCTCTAAGCAAATTAGGGAAGGAAAACAAGGTAACCCAAATGTGGATAATGTAATGGATCCCCGTGCCAGAGGGGAAGCCGAATGTCTGGCAGGTGGCAGACTGGGGCATATTATCTTAGGTGAGGCAACGTTTCCACTAGAAGACCTGAATAACATCTTTCCAACTACTATCCTGGACTTCATTGGGCATGATTGGAGAATTATAATTAGGCATGAGCCACAATGTACCAATGAGTCGCAGTCCAGTCTGGACCTAACCTAACTAAGGTAAATTTTTCAAAATAAGAAGCCATCGATGACAGTTTTCTAGATGGTATGGTAAAGTAGGTAGGTACATAACATGCATCTCTATGATATTATCTCAGTACTAGAGAGCAATTCAGCTATTCAGAGTACTGACTCTCACACTGGCAAAGTCAAAGGTCTGAAGAGATTCTTCTACTCTCCGATATTGTATCAGCTTAACTAGAAACTCAAGTTCTTGTTGTAACGACGGCCCTGTAGGGGGAAATAGTACAGTTTAGGGCTGCTAGGGTCTGCCCAGAGGTAGGTATTCTCTCTCCTCTTCTGTAGTCTTTCTTGATCGACAATCTGCTGGCCATAATCCAACTGTGGGAGGTTGACCTGAAGGCTTACGCAGACGACAAACCTATTATTACAATAAATCCTCACAAAATAACTGTAGTATCCTTTAAGCTAGACCATCTTATACCCCTTAACCTACGGGAGGTGGTGGTACCCTTCGCAAAGGAAGTAAAATATTCAAGAATTCCCCTAGATAAAAGGCTTACCTGGAATATTCATCTGGCAAAAATAATACAAAAAGTCGCTCTTAAGGCGCTTAGCCCCCTACTCCCCTACCCAATTCAAGAAACCTCTTGGATACTTACTAAACCTGCCAGGAATGACACAAGCAAAGGCAATCATAAGAGAACCAGTGAAAGAACACTCGGTTGGAAGGATACTGGAGCTCGGCAGAACTGAGCTGAAAACCTTAATTGGCTTATACACTGTAGGCTAAAACACCACATGCAAGGAGTTTGGTTGGCAAATGATGCTGAGTGCAATCTATGTATGGAGGACGAGGAGACAGCTGCACACATTAACGAATGTCTGGCAGGTGGCAGACTGAGGCATAGCATCTTAGGTGGGGCAGCGGTCCCACTGGGAGACCTGAACAACATCTTTTCAACTACTACAGTAAAAATCCAAGGAGAAGAAGCCAGTGACGACATACAGACCTGCGCGAAAGTGGTCGGTCCTCTTTCTCTCTTCCCTTTTTCTTGAGACTGACATGACTAAAAATTAGTGGTGGGGTGTCGGTTATTTTCATATTCTATAACAAGCGCCACAACGCCAAGGTCAGCGATAAGATTTAGAAATGGGTCCCTGCGCACTTTTCGTCCCTGGCTTCTCCTCCTTTGATTTTTACTCTATCCTGGATTTCATTAGGCATGATTGGAGAATTATAATACACTAATGGGTCGTTGTCTAGTCTAGACCTAACCTAACTAAGCTAAATTTTTTAAAATACGAAGTCACAGATGACAGTTTTGGTAGAGTAGGTAAGTACATAACGTGCTTCATCTCCATGATATTCTCAGTACTAGAGAGCGATTCAGCCATTCAGAGTACTGACCTTCTCACAAAAGTCAAAAGTCTAAAGAGATTATTTATCTCTCCGATATTGCATCAGTTTAACTGGGAATCAGAGGAGAAGCACAAAAATCGCCGTGATATTAAATTTGCCGAAGATAGCTAGCTGGATACAATACATATTTGCCATTTCAATATTCTAAAAGAAAAAGGGAACTTTCTCTCCTTCTCCCTAAGTCCCTAACCCAATTTAAAAAATGGAAGAAAAAAAAACAGCGATAATTTGCACCCCCTGTGGTGCGAACATAATACATTAAAAACCCTTTAACCAAATAAGGGCCTTTAAAACGATTCTTATGTGGCCCTTAACCTTTCACCTTTCAACCCTTTCCACCGAGTGCGCTCTTGTTATCCCTTAAAGAACGCTACTATGAAGGGATTTCAAGTTAGCCCGAGAGTGAAATTATCATTCCGATAATACGCTGAATAAGGAATAAAAATTTGTGCCCACAAACAAAAAGCTTTCTCT